ACGACGCGTCGGTACAATCTCATGTACCCTCTTTAGGTCTTATCTGCTGGGCTGCTGTTGCTGCTTTAGGATTTCACTGGCGTTATAAGTATGAACTCGCAGCAGAGCAGCAACAGCAGCTCAGCAGATAAGACCTGAAGTTGGTACATGAGAATCTCATGTACCAACTTCATGATGAGATTGTACCGAAACGTCGTCAGACATACGGTTCTTTTAAGAACCAAAAACCGACAACACGAAGCAGATCCCGGAAAACTATCAATATATATATATATATATATACCTATATATATATATATGTATGTATAGGTAAGTTTAGGAAAAAAAAAATTGTCAACAAAAAATTTAGGGCGCATTGTCCCCTACAATTTATGTCCTTGGGTCGATGCTCTGGGACAGAAAATTAAAAAAGTAGGTGGCGCTAAAGTGCCCAAAAAACCATTTTATTGCTTTTTGAGCCCAAACAATTTTTTTACGCAGAACTGTAATTAAGAAAATTTTTATCATAAATTCACCCACAAAATTTATGAACACTTTTTTTCCTACGATATACCGTTTCGAAGTTATATCAGCCGAATTTTCTCAATTATTTCTCAAAAAAAACCCTGTGGGGCACGTGCTTCCTTTGACCGATTGATTTATATGATTTGGAACCGATTTGGGGGGCGCCTCTGTTAAATTTGTTTCTACTCATAAATAAGGAACACCCTAATATAAATATATGTATATTATGTGGAACACTCAATGAAGTAAGTTATTAAACCTGTGACAATTGTAGACCCCGCTTAACGTGGAATGGCTGTAAAGTAAAGTAACTACCCTAGCAAAGATATTTTAAAAATGACTTGATACCAAAGTTTCAACAAATTAAATTTCCCCAAAACTTTTCTCTGTGGTGGCGTTAGCATGGGACAATCATACCTTTCTTATGACCTGATCTACGTCGCTCAGAAACCCTTTATACATGTATACTAGGGTGTCCCTTATTTTTTATTTTTTTACGCATACCCTCTAATTATATTTATTACGTGTTTATATACTCCCAGTAAAAATTTCAGCTTATTCTATAAACGGGAACCCGTGCCGACTTGCATCTGAACCCTCCATTAGCCAACGTTAGGCGCGGTATTTTGTAACACGGTTGGCCACTAGGTCTTCGATCGTAAGTCATTTTGTGTTTGTTATTATGTGACCCTTATATTATAAATTATTAAAAAATGTTAAAATATAGTTTTATTTATGTGTATACTTTAATAAAAATGAATATTTTTACAGGTGGCTAGTTACCCGGAAGTGTCGGGTGAATAGGCCGTAAAACTAATTACCCGAAACTCTTTTTTTTATTATATCTGAATGACAGCTAAAAAATAACCAAAAAAAAATTAGTTGATTTTATCCCTTAAATATATTAATATTCTAATTAGTATTGCTAAAATATACTGTTATATGAAATTTCAGCTTTTTATAAGCATTTCTTTTCTTGATGTCCTCCCAAAAATATTTCAGACAGTTCAATAAGTTTTCGGTAGTCATCTCTCACAATAGACTCTTTTAGTTATTTAGAGTAAATCCCATTAAGTTTATCAATTTCAGAGTTTACGGCATATTCACTAGACTCTTCCGGGTAACTAGCCACTCCCTGTGAAAATATACATTTTTATCAAAGTATACACATAAATAAAACTATATTTTAACATTTGTCAATAATTTATAATATAAGGGTCACATAATAACAAACACAAAATGACTTACGATCGAAGACCTCGCGGCCAACCGTGTTACAAAATACCGCGCGCCTAACGTTGGCTCACGGAGGGTTCAGATGCAAGTCGGCACGGGTTCCCGTTTATAGAATGAGCTGAAATTTTTACTGGGAGTATATAAACACGTAATAAATATAATTAGAGGGTATGCGTAAAAAAATAAAAAATAAGGGACACCCTAATGTATATATACTATAGTAATGCGGGGCGAAATACATGATGGTAACCATTTATATCGAAATAAATGATCATATAAATTTACTTTGACTATATTGGAAAAATGTTTAAAGTGCCGAAGATAATATCTGCACTTAAAAGAGGTGGGGGATCCTCTAAACATTGTCCGAACATAATAATTTTTTTTGTTTATTTTGGTTTACCAATATGTATTTTGCTCAAACCATATTAATGGTTACCATTATGTATGTTAATTTTTGTTCAGTAAAATTTATATAACAACGATAATTTTTGACGTTTTACTCTTCTTTAGGATGCTTTACACTTAAATTATTATCTATCCTTAACATAACTTATTAAACTATTATGTTGAAAATAACAAACCTTTTTCATTTAGGTGGTTTCACCCGTGGTTACAATGTTAAAAATGTTTTTAAAAATAAAATATAACGTACAAATTCTGAATATCTACTTCAATGAGAAAACACGAGCATAAGAAATAATGACGCCAGACCAGTACTAAGTATGACCAGTTTTTCGAGACATCGATATAGGTGGATGCATCAAGCTACCATATTTCATCGAACTGATTTGTATAATATCGTAACTAGAATTTTCAATTACGCGATATGAGACAGTAATTATTGTTTTCTAGTTTATTATATTGTTTTTTATCCATTAGAGTTAATGTCAAAAGCGGCTCTATCTAAGCCGCCTGATCTAAAGCGGTTATCGGTTGAGTTTTTCTTCTTAAAGCCATTAATTCATAATGCATGCTATTTTAATTTGGTAATGGAAATTTCCAATGGTATACTATTTCTTATAAGACATATCAATTTTCATTAAAACACACTTATAAATTATTTTTGGTGGATCTTTTAATGTGTGAGAACACCAGGTTAAGATTATTATATGTTCAAGTCCATATTTTAAATAGGGTTTAGCACATCGGTTTTTAAATAACCTATGTGAAAATGTTTAGGTTTAAATTAACCCTTATACAATTTTTACTGCCACCATTTTGATAGTCCGCTGAATTAATTTCAATAGATCTAATTGTTCACATATAACACCAATTCCCCCCATTCATTTAACATTAGAGTTTATACAAAGGTAAAAACTAATGAATTTGTTAAAAATCAAGGAGTGTTACCAATCTATGTTAAATTGTGTGATAAAAGAATGAAGAGTGTACTGAAATCCCACTCATTCAGCAAGTTTTCCTTGAATAAGAAAAACAACTTTGGGATTATTAAATCATGAAATATATATAATTTTTATAAAATTTCAAGTATAAAGATAATAATAACACCGTCATTAAAGATTTCTTATATTTTTAAAATATGGTATACATGGGATTTAATGGATTAGTAATGAAACGGACGGAAAACGCACAGAATTCTGCATTAATGCTTTACTGGTTTCCTTCTTTCTAAAGAAAATACCATGATGAAATCAGACAAACCAGGACTTCCAAACCAGTGGGGCCTGTCTCTCTGGAGGGGCGTAAAAAGATCATAAGGGGGCCCAATGTGTTCAGACAATCTTAGAAAAATATATTCGAAGTCGTTTTTCAAAAATGAATAAAAAAGGTTGGACTTTCTGCAGGTTTTTGATGTGCTCAATTTAAAGTTGCTCCCTCTCGTCACGTTTTGGTATGTTTTTTACTCTAAAAGACTCATTATGCCATCTTAAAGAAGTACTTATAAATACTAAATTTTTTAATTTTTTTTTACTGTCCGAGAAATCGCTAGTTGAATTTTCCCAAAACATAAGGATTAGGGTGGGTTTAAAACAAAATGTTTGGTTTTTTTTCTTAGCATGGGGGCAGAATTGTTATAAAAAAAGAAAATTTTAAAAAAATAATAATTTTTAGTCAACATCTTGAGATTGCCCACTCGTTTTATAAATACATATTTAATCAAATGGGATAGTTCCAACGGGAAATTCTTTTTTTGGTTCTAGAATCTGCAGGGTGTCCCCTCAAAAGCCAATTGAAAGTCAAAAGTTGAAAAAGTTTTTTTCCATTGTTTTTGTAATTTCAATTAAAAAATGAAAAGCACTTTCTTTTGTATTAGAATGAAAGTTGACTGAAATAAAATGACTACAATTTTTACATGTTTACCACGATTTTGGACCAAAAAAAGAATTTCCCGTTGGAACACCCCATTTGATTAAATATTTATTTAAAAAACGAGTGGGCCACCTCAAGATGTTGAGTAAAAAAATTTTTTTTTTTGAAAAATTTTTTTTCTCCCATGCTAAAAAAATAAACATTTTGTTTTCAACCACCCTATAGGGATATTAAAAATTTAGGATTTTAAAGAAAGATGACTTAAGGAGATTTGTGAGGAATATTGGGATCGAAAACTGGATGTGATAGAGCAATTCAGGTCAAATTAGGATTCATCAGGTCAAAAACAGAAAAAATGTAGTGTTTTTGTTTAAAAGCAGCCAGTGATAATTCTAGTCAACAGCAATTACATCCTGTAAATTTAGCAGTTAATTTCTATGTAAAATTGTCCGCTGAATCGGAAAATGTCAACATATTTTTAGAGAGTGGAAAACAAAAAGAGGAGACTTCTGGTCATATTGTGTAAAAATATTTTAGGTTATAACTTTAAAGCAATTGATTAAACAATAAAAAACAATACCAATTTACGCTTGCTATTTCTTAGACCTCCCTAACCACCTCTTCAAAATTAAGAAAACGAAAATTCATGCAGTTATTTGAATATCTCTGTTTTGGGCAAAATTACCTAAAAACCTATAGGAATAAATGTTAAAAATAGAATGGGCTGATATGCGGAAATATGGAGTACCTATGTGCACCTCCATATAAAAATGACACGAAGAGATTCGCGGTGCAATATCATGAATGCATGCATGTATAGAGCGCGCGGTTTATCTATTCCGCACATAAACAAACAACAGTATCTAGATTCGGATAGGATAGGCAAAGCCCTTCCAGTGGTGTTTTAGGTGTCCCCCACGGCCCCTCTTTGCGAGCGGGGCGGGGCCTCGCGGCTCGTCTCTCTTCACATGCGCTATCGCAACAGCCGCCCGTGTACCGTCAAAGTGCGCGGACGCTGTATCGCAGATTGCCATACGTGTAAAGTATACCTATAGCTACATCTAGTGACATGCGCGACAATTTTATTGCTCATTACACGTATTTTTTGCACGTTTGTTTACGGAATAGCTCTACATTCAAGTGCATCGGTTGTTATGTAATACCAAAGACTTTTCAACGCTCTGTGTGTAATTAACTTTTCGAGTGATTAAGAAGCGGACTTTGTGCCAACTATTCTTTTAGTGACAACCCCTTCGCGGTGCGTTCATCCAACCACTGTAGTGATATCGTTAAAAATGCATGCGAACACTCATTGTCAGGTGCTAAGGTTGATTTGAGGACGCACACCCCTGATAAGCGCGGGAACGCGTGTGTTTCTTCCCACCTACAATTTTTGTTTTATTTTTTTTTTGTTAATTTTTTGTGGTATTCCGACGGATCTGGATAATCGTGTCAAAATACTCCATCTCAACGGTTCTGCCGTCACTGCAGATGGGAGTGTTTGAAGAAAGGCCTTCTTACACGCCCGGGATGCATTGGGTAAGAATATTTTTATTACCTAGGTTTAAAGTACTCTTAAATTCAATGGTATTGGATGAAAACAAATTAGTTAATAGGTGAAAGCCTCACATACTCATAACCTCAAATTTTCTAATTGACTGTTTCCAATTACGCATACTATAAGGTACCATCGCGGTTCTACCATAATACCTATCCATATAATATTTTTAACACACTATAGTGGTATACCGATAAGATCAAATAGTTATAGTAGGTATATAGTTATGCTTTATGTTTATGTATATTTATTGGTAAATATTTACGCTGATCTATTTACTAATTTTATTTAATTGTAAATTTTTAATTATAATAATTTAATTTAATTTAATATGTTTCACATTTCTTACCATGATCATACGTACCTACAATTTTGTATACTGTTTGAGTAGGTATAGGTTGTAACAATTTAGGTAATAAATACTTATAACTTATTAGGCTGAGAAGTAAATCTTTTTGTGCTGAGCTCAAAGTTATTTGTTAAACGAGACATTAAACGCGCAATTATAATAATAATTATTAAAAGTAGAAAGTGAGGTTAGGTAGATCTGACAGTAGTCGAATTTTTTTTCCAAACGGGTTTTGTACAAACTAGAAGTTGAAAAAACTTAACACGATTGGTCTAAATGATTTTTTACAGCCCAGGCGATAAATAATCACTTTAGTAGTGAGTGTTGACAATAATAAAATTTAAATTATATAACGCTTTAAGATACAAAGTTGTTAATCAGAATTTGAATTAGCTGCATATCAAATATATTTATTTTTATATAAAAAGATTGCAAGGTTATTACTTAGGGTTCTACATCAGTTATATAAAATCGATTTACAAAATTAAAGTACTTTTAACTTTCCGTCGGAAATAAGAAACTTACTTACAGGTTAAATTTGTTTTTATTTACGCTTATTTTAACAATATATGGACGATTTGTTAGCAACAATTATGAATACTTTTTAAATTAAAGGATTAAAGTTTTAAGCACTTCTCAAGGTACTTTTTAAGAAAAAAAAACTTGTGCTTTAATATTTATTAATAAAATATCAATACAAACTTAATTATGTGGCAGATAGGTACTATTTTTTATTTCATAAATTTAATTTAATTTTCTTTTAATCATAATAATTTATATATAGTTATAAATGTCAAAAGGATAAGAAGTGAGTCATTTTGTACTGAACTTAAAGTTTGAATGCCGACGCGTAGCTAAGGCCTACAATTAAGCGAAGCACAAAAAGATACTTCTCAGCCGCATGGCATATAATATTTTATCTTTAAAGCATAATTTTATTTCTTAAACAATAGGTTCAATAATAATATTTTTTAAAAGTAGAAAGTAAGGTTATATTAGATTATTAGATCTGACAATAGTCAAATTTTTTATTGGGCAAAACGGTTATTTACAGAGTAAGAGGTAACCTGATTGGTCTAAATTATTTTTAGACCTTAGGGGGTTTTTAAATTAAAGATAATCATTATTTTCTCCTCCTATAGGAGGAGAAGTGAGTCTTTTCTCCTTATAACATATACTATTTGATCTTCTAACACTAAAAACACATTAACTTAATATGAATGACAGTTTGTCAATTACAGTCTATTAATGACTGATGCGTTCTGCAAAGGCATGCCATAGGCGGAGATAATATGAATGAAATAAGATAAAAAATGAATTTTTATCGATTTATTGTCTATACTTATGTATCTTAATATTGTACTAGAAAAATAAAGTTATTATTGTACTAATACAATAATAAATAACTTTTGGGCTGTGTGTAGGCTAATAATATTGATATTAGGTATATCATGTTGGAAGATAATAATTATTTAAGTATGTCGTAAGGCTGAGAAGTAAATTTTTGTGTGCTTAGCTCAATTAAGCGAAGCACTAAAGGACGGGCAGTTTTACTTGTTAAACAAAACATAAAACGTTCTTACAATTATAATAACATTAATTGTTATTATAATTGTAATTATTATTAAAAGTACTAGGATATAAAATAACACCTTATTGGTCTAAATTATTTTTACAGCATAACAGATAATCGAGTTACTTTTTTAGTGAGCGTTGACAACAATAAAGGTTAAATTATAGAACGCTTGGAGATAAAAGCTTTTAAATAATAATGTTCGGATTACTTTGTAATTAATTATAAAAATGTAAATATTTTCCGACTTAAATCAAAATGTTTTAGTATTTTAAAATGGCTTCAATAAAAAAATAAGCTTTTAGTAATAAGCCGCGTTAATAAAATATTTATGATGTTTCTTTATTTAATGTATACCTAAATAAAACACTTAACATAAAAACTGGACGAGATTAAATCATTAAATTTTGTTTTATTTCTTCGGGCGAATGAATTTTGAAATAAATACATCTAAATAATTTTTAATTTGCATTTTATATTTTCATAACACACCTGTTGATTTAACTGGAACAAATTCCAAAAGAAACTAGAGCTATAAAGAGATTTTATTATCGGAATAAAATATTAATTGAAAATAATTCACTGCATTTCCAGAGCTAATCCAATATTTCATCACTAATTGCTTATGTTTAAAACTGCTCCCACAGCTTTGTTATCAAAAAAATATATATTTTTTATTTCTAGTATCAATTTCAAAAATGTAAACCATTTCAGCATATATAATATAATTGTATCTACTATAAGATTGTCAAAAGAGGATACAAGTAAACTGGTTGATTCTGTGTATTTTTTTATTTTGCAATAAAACCGGGTCAGGTTTAAGACTTGGTGCTGGTGAGAACCACTTTATATATAATCCTTTCTTCGCCAAGACAAAAAACATTGGTATAATTATTAACGTTGCAATTTTTTTTGGACACTTGCTAAAAGTAAAACTGTTTAAAGGGACTTGATGATTAAAATTTAAGCTCAGTGGCGGACTTATCCGTAATTTTTACTTATGTATGTATAGTTTTTTATAGTGGTTTTTATTAATTTTGTAAAGAAAACGATATATAAAAGTTAGATCGTTGCTATAGATCTAGACTAAAAGTTAGAAGTGACAAATTAGAATGGTTTTTATAAATGATCAGGTTTTATTAAAAAAAAAATTCTTTTGATCTTTCTCGCCTTTGCACTAATATTATATTATGTATCAAGTTTGATAAACGCCATTTTAGACACGAATTTAATAAAAGCACAATGTTTATATAAACTTTTCAAATATTGGCGTTAAGAAACTATTTAATATTTTTGTATTTTTGTATTGAGATAATAAAATAATTTTCACATTTAGTATTATTTTACAAGAAAGGCACTTTATTTTAACGATTGTATGACATTTGACAAATGTCAACTTAATTAAAACTAATTTCAGCCCGTAACTAAAAACCTGTTGGTAACTTCAGCCTGTGACTAAAATTCCATGAAGCCACAAATTGTCAATGTGTATTTAAAAGGTCACTTAGTGTTATGGAAACATGTAAAGAGCATTTTAAAGGTGATAGTAGAAAAAATATCTTAAGATTTATCGAGATAGTATCAAAACAACTAGTAACCAAACAATTTAATAGCGAAAAAAATTACTGCCGATCGAACATTTTTAGGCCTAAAATTTAAAATTTATTTTTTCCAAAATAAAACACCTAAGCATTTTATTTTAAGTTCCCATGAGTCATAGGCTATAACTAAAGAAAAAGTCAATAAAATTGTAAAATTAACAACGGGCCCCGTTTAAAAAATTGCCAAGGCCCTTATATTTTGTTGTTACGCCGCTGTCAGACCTACCGGTTACGTAAGGTCAAGTATAATCTTATGATAATAACACAGAATTATCGAATACATCCGCTTAAAATTAATTAAAAATGAACCTTTTAACCAAAATATTTTTATATTTAAATAATAATTTGGTAGAGCCTATGCCTATGTTCTCTTTAAAAATGACTAATTGTAAGTCATTTGTGACTAATTGTTATAGTACCAATGCAGTCACTAATAAATATCAGTCAATAATAATTATAATAAGTCAAATTTCACCAAATGAAATATTAAAATTAGTAGATAGGTATATCTTATATCTTATAAATTTATAAATATGTGAGGTTACTGAGGATTGAATTCAGATATCTGGGTTTTCAGGCAAAATGCAAACGCACCATAAGTGACATTTGGAAAATGTATAGATATTTTTAACAATATTTTAAAGTTAAATATCTATTTTGTGTTGCTGTTTTGAGCTAAACTTTTAACATCTTTGTGAGCAATTTAAAATTAAATATATTTTTTTGTGACAGCAGAAACTAAAAATAACTAAAGAACTTAGTGACTTTTTACTCGAAAGAGGCAAAGTTGGTGACTAATCTTAAATTAGCCAAACTGTTACTAGTTAAATAAATAAAAAAGTTACTATTTACAAGTAAATTTTTTTATTTTATGAGTAGAAAATGCCCTAGCGTATTAAAATAGTGTGATTTTAACTCATTCATTTTAAGAGTGTAGAGGAAGTGGGGGTAATTCGGAATACTGTTGGTAATTTGGAATACTTAATTATAATTAAGTATTATAATTATTGAAGCTATGCTTTATGATATAAACTACTAGTCTACCCTATTTTTAATTGTTAATTGTACTTTTTTGATATTTTAAAGCATTTTTTTTACGTATTATGGCGTAGGTCTTTATATTGCTAATTTGGAATACTATAAATAATGCAAATTTGAAATATTCCAAATTATATTAATTTTTTGTAATATTTGATAATCAACTAGGTATCTAATAATCAATTTTCTCTTTTAATTTATATTTGGTTACCTTTTTAAAATGTTTCATTAACGTTTTTAATAAAAAAACATTTGCTGCTATTTTGAAATATTCCAAATTGGTGGTATTCCAAATTAACTTCATGTTACGTAAACAGAGATTTTTTACAATTTTTTTTTTCATTAGTGAAAAAATCCTTTTAAAGTATTTTAAATAGTTTAAAATTTTCGAATGGCATAGTACACACCTATGTAGATCTA